CATTTCATAGCAGCCTTCTAGGACAGGGTAGAACTGCCCCTGTGCGTTTCCAAGACTGTCATTCTTTACAGGAGTAGAAAGTCTTATCTTTCTAAAATGGTTGCACTCAGTATGAAGCAAAGAAGGATCGTGTGTTTTAAATTTTGATTCCTGATACTGTACAAATGAGTAAATACTTTATAAGCAACAGTGAAAATTGAATTGGTACTGAACAAACATTTACTGGTTGTATGAAAGAATGTGCAAACAATAAACAAGAATGGAAATACAGTCTAGATTATAGAAGGAAGCCAAGTAGCTGAGTAGAGGCTTGCATCTTCTCTGAAGGAATTGATCTTCAAAGTTTGACAGCATGGTAGAAATTTTGCCATGGGAATTAAGGTCCTCTAGGGTCAGGAGTAAAAAAATAAGGCAGAATCATCATCCAAAAGTTTCTGGTATATTATACTAGAAATCAGATATAAGTAATGACCATATTCCATTTAGTAGAACTTCGATTGATACAAGAGACTTGCCCTTAAAAAAGAAAGCAAAATCCTAGAACCTCCGATCATATTGAGAAACATTGTGTCACCCTCTAGAAAACACAGTCTGAAAACTACTTTAGATCTATCTGTGTCTGGACAAATAAATTGACCTAACTAAAATTTGTTCCTATTTCTTTCTTTTGCCAAGTCAATATCGGACAAAATCAATTTGCAAATGATTGATCTTGTCGTTGATATATACTCAGTTAAGAAGCCCTGGTGGGCAAGGAAAAATGATGTGCAAAGGCCCTGTGGTGGAAAGAGCATGACACATTTCAGCAATGAAATGACCAATGTGGAAATGGGAAAGTCAGCAATAGGAGCAAGAAGAAACCGCATAAGTGTTCTAAGTTGGTGGGCGATGATAACAGATTTGTTCGGGAAAGGTCTGGATACTGTAAGATGGGGAAATGAATCAGAAGTGGCCCCAGGTGGAGCGTGCATTGCAATCATCTAGCCATAGGGTGATGGATGCTTGGATTAGGATGGTGGGAGTGGGGAATGGTAGCTATATCTGAATACTTACGTGTTAGTCTTGGTTGACTAGAGAAACAAATCCATAGACACTCATATGTGTATAAGAAAGAGCTTTACATGAAAGAGTAATTGCATATTAAGAAAACATGCCAGGCCAGTCCAGATCAAGTCCATAAATCTGATGATATTAGCCTATATGTCCGGTAATAATCTACAAATTCCTCTTCAGACTCACAAAACACATGAAATGATGTCAAATGCAGGAAGATCACAGGTCAGTGTGTGGAAAGTCCCGTGGATCCAATGGTGGTTTAAGCATCTCAGCACTGCGTGGTTCCCCACGTGGCTCCTTCGGCTCCAGGGCTCTGACTCCATCAGCATAGCTTCACATGGCTTGTCAACAGGAATGTCTCACAGGGAATGAGTGTGTATCTGGCCTCCAGTAAGCTATTTACTTCCGTTTGTGCCTGCCAAATGAGGTCATCAAGCTGCGACCTGATTGACAGACAAGTTGAGAGGAGATTATGTAATTGCCACAACTTAGTAGGTAAAATACATAATCAGGACTTGAATTGCATCTTGGGTATGGAAAGCAAGGTGTGGAAGGTTTCAAAAATAACTCAGAGTTTTCTGACTTGCATAGCAGATAAATGGTGCCATTCCCTAAAACAAGAACTATTAGAGGAAGGTAGGTATTTTGTTTTGTGAGGGGTGGGGAGAATATTAAGAGAGTAGATTAGAAATCCAGTTCCAATGCCTTTGATACAAGGAAGGGAATTTTTAAATAGGCTTATAGATTTATGCCAAAAAATCAGAAACGTAAGGTGCAGAGATGAAGCGTGAGAGTCATCATTTTAAGGAATCCCCTACCTCCTCCAAATCCAGCCACATTCACCTGTTCATCATCTCTAGAGAGCTAGCAAACAAGGTAAACCTTTAAGACTCAGTGGTTGTTTGCTAAGAAACCAACTTCCATAGTTATTGCAGACCAAATTGTCAATAATACATGATTCAACCACATAGAATGAAGTTTCCTTAATATATGAGGGTGACAAAAAGGATTGCTAAAAAACCATAGAAAACCTGGATTAAACAAAAATATCCAAAAGTCAAGCTATTGATTTTCATCATCGTCTCCATCAAGGTCTAGACACTTCTGAAGACACTGCTTCCACCTCCCTAGTCCGTCCTCACAACAGACGTTTGCACTCTTGATTTACACCGAGTCTCAATAGTAGTTTGTAGTCTCAATAGTAGTCTCAATAGTAGTTTGGGCATCCTCAAGAGACATAAATCATGTTCTTTGAGTTTGGGGAACAAAAAGAAGCCTAAAGGGGCAAGGTCAGAACTGTAGGGTAGACAGGGTAAGGTTTCCCAACTAAATTCTCAGAGCACAGAGCTTGTTAATGAGCAGGCACATTGTCAGGATGTGGGGGGGAAATCGTCAGCACAACCTCCTGACCTTTTTCTCACCAGTGCTGTGTTGGTCCGGGTCAACTAGAGAAACAAACCCAGAGACACTCATCTATGTGTAAGAAAGAACTTTATATCAAGAAGTAATTATGCATTAATAAAACAGCCCAGCCCAGTCCAGAACAAGTCCATAAGTCCGATATTAGCCCATATGTCTGATACTAGTCTATAAATTCCTCTTCAGACTCAAACAACA